CTGAATCGGATCCGAGTCACAGACTCACAGTTGTCATGTGAACTCTCACGTTAGTACTCTAGAAACGGATGCGATTGCGAACTTCAATGGAGATGAAATCGCAATTGGCAAGGCGCATCATCGAGCTCTCCTTCTCATCACCGCATGCGTTCCCGTTGGCGGGTAAGTCTCTCACCTCGCGGCCTGCATCTGGGACTCCAATCGATAGGATGAGCAACTCACCAGCCAACATGTAAGTCGCCAGCCCCTCGCCCACTTCATACTACTTTCATCGAAAATGAGAAGCAAAATCGAATGAATCTACTGCTAAAATGTGGGTCCATGCATCTCGTCTTCACTTCCCTCTCCTCACGCAGCCCCAAATCATCATATCGCTGAATTCACACCCCGAACGCCGAATCTAACTTTGCAGAGTGACTTGCGAGGCCAAAAACTCTCGGAATCGGATCTCAGCTAGCCCGATTTTGCTAAGAATCGGACGAGTTATCCGTTCTTCCGCTGTGCCATGCCCATTCGTCCGACTTCCACCTCACACACGTTTCTTTACTAATCTCTTTTGCTACTAACTCTTTGCTCAAACTAACTTTGGATTCTCACTTACTATCTCGCCAAACCCCTAGTTAGCACCTAACTTCGTTCGACTCTATAAAAAAAAGCCGAACGAAATATTGGACTTCATCCCCCGCTATAGATGCACTTCCGGCTCCGCCTGCGCACCTTCTATTCCCACTTCCGGCTCCTGAAACTGACTTCACGGATCGGGTACGAACTCCATGCTTCTTTCCGCCATAGCTGCTTCCTCGATGTTGCGTTCTCCTTACCCCTTCTACATGCACCCGGTGCACTTTGCGTTCGGATACATCCACTTTACTGACCTTGCCCCGCGCCTTGCTAGTTTCGCCGCTTGCTGTAGACCGCACCCCTGTTGTTCGTCTCCTCCGTACAGTAGCGCAGCGTCGGGTCCTACCGGTCCTTACCTCAACGCTTCCTCGGAGCGACTTGGGAAATTGTTCTGCCCAACTGGTAAGTCCTCCCCTCTTCACCAATCGAGAATCGCATGGGCGACTCCCGTTTCCACGGTCATCCCCTTCGTCATTCACGTGTCGGGACCAACGCGGTTAGCGCACTGTGGTCTGAACTGCGCGGGAGTCAGATCGAGCGAAGGGCAAGCAAACGAAAAAAAGACAAACCGTTCTCTAATTTATGCAGGCCATCCTTACGCAGGGGCCATGTAAGTCTTCTCTGTATCGTTCCAATTTTAACGGATGTCCCGAAGGACTCGGCCTGGGCCATTCTCTACGACGCTCCAAAGCTTGCGTAGGCCCACTCACACCAAAATATTTGGCTTTATTCGTCAAGTTCCATTATCTCAGTTCGGACACAGGCCTGTATTTCAACAATTCATGGGTGTAACAATTGAGCTAGGCCCATTGGTCCTAGGTGCAGCCACGGTACCTCGTCCCGGGGAGGAACGGGGCGTGGGTAGGAGTAAAATACGAAATAAAAACAACAAAAAAAATCAGAAAGGAAAGGGGACACGGGAATTTACCGACACCTCGCCAGTCCTGCGGGTCGGGCCCGCCATCGCGCTGGAATGTAAAACCGAAGGGGATAGCCCCGTCGGGCCCTCAACCCCTCGGTCCCTTCCAACGCTCCGTTGCTCCCATACTGCCGTCCGCTGGCCTCGATCCCTGGGTCAACTGCGTACCAGTCCGGTGCTGTAACCTATAGGGCTAAGCCCAAGTCTAGTACCAGCAGGCGTGACTCGCTTTATAGAGAGGTAGCGCACGACCCTTGGGGCCAAGGAAACGCCCTATACCACTTCCCGGCCCACACTTGCACAAGGGACTACCCAAACTCACGTCGTCCTACCCTGTATTCCCCCACATGCCCACAAAAAGCCGCGGCAACCTTCCGACCGAGCCTCGGCTACCCCTACCTGGCCGAATCCATCAGGTCCCATCGTCTGGATTCCGTCCATGTCCACACCAGCTCACTAGATTGTCCATCATACCATGCGAAACCAATGAACAAGGTGCTCATAGGCTAATCAGTTCAATCAAGACAAAAATAACATATGCTGACCAAAATCCACGCCACGTCTGCCAGTGTAACCGAAAGAAGGAAAAATTACGCGCCTCAAACTTGCGCGCCCACGCACTTTTTACTCTAGTCACCATAAATTGCAGACGCGGCCGCGCCTAGCGTGGCATACTTAAACTTTAAACCAAATTGTTTTCTGCCGTTTGCAAAGACCAGGGCGGATACCCTTGTAAGGGTATTTGCACCGACAACTTACCGGACCATACTAAGCGACGTCTCCGTCGCTTCGCAAGATCAAAAGCTATCAATCCAACCACAATCCCAAAATGCTGACGAGCAGGGTACCAATCCGATTAGCCGACAGACCCAGGGTTGAGGCCTCCAATAATCCATGCCAGACACAACTTTACGTTGCCAGGACTCTAACCTGGGTCTCCGTCGCCCTGACCCTCAGACGTCGGGATACTCCTCACTGTACTACAGCATAAGCTCCATTGGATCTCTCACCGTCCTCTCCCCTATGCCCTAGACAGCCGTCGGGTTCTCATTGTGTGCCCCTAGCCCTTCCCTTGACACCAAGTCATCACTAGGGGCGCGGGCCCTAACCGAAACCTTCGAAGGCATTCTCTCGCCTTCCTCTCTAAAATCTTCAAATTAACACACGTAGCTGTACCACATAGACTCTCACATGAGCTTTCCTGCAGTCTAGTACAGGAAGACCAGGTCTCCATCTTGGCCCACCATAGTCTGGGTGATCATTCCAGATCTACGGCCCACTGCATTTGTTATTTCAGCGGTAGTGCCTTTGCGGGTTGTGCCACGATAGGTTGTTCCTGATAAGTTATCAATCAGGACTTCCTCAAAAGTCTCATATGACTCGACTCTTATCCCATGCCTCTCCACAGGAGTAAAACCCCCCTAGGCGTTTATGCCCCTTTAAGTCTTTACTCGTTTGGCCAGACGCAGGCCCTCTGCTCAGGTTGTGCCAAACAGTGACCAACACTAAGGGTTGCGGCTTAGTGATGCTAGTTATACCCCTAGCTGGGTCTCTTGTAAATGTCCAACATTAGCACAAGTGGTCGGACGGTGTGTCGCAGCAATACAAGCCGACTATGGGACTACACATAGACCTGTCGCACATAAGGGTATTTACCGGTCCCTCTGTGGGACAACACAGAGGAAGCACGACAACCTCTCCACAATCACAAAACAAAATCACCGCCTGGTTCACAAGGCCGTGGCCTCCCAGCTTGATCAGAGCAAGACGGTCACACATCTTGATGACATCTCTTAAAACACACCATTTGCGACATCCAAGAATTCCACCAGTAGTCAAACAAAGTCCGGTCCCTCTTGTCAGTCTTTTATTACTCAAAGTCAGCCTTCCACTTATCAATCTTATTAACCACGTTATTTATAGAGGAGGTCTTACTTTAATAGGTCTCTCAGTCATCCCTCTCTCGCTAGGATGAACTCTCTCGCGACCTTCTCTTTAACACATCTTTCCTCTCTGAAGATGCGTCTTCCAAATAGATAATGGAGAACCTTTCCATTCACAGTTGTCCCACTCATCATATGATCCATATAAAAAAACCAACTTGTTGGTCTTCTACACAACTTAACAACAAAGCATCTTCACAAAACAGACTGCGCTTCCTCTCCTTATACTCGGCCCTATCACCTGCCCAGGGGCAGATCGCACGAGTATACCGGCGAGTAGACAACTCACATTCATCCAAATTCACAAGGTACAACATACATSAAGTATTTTCTCGCRCATATTTCACACCAACCCATCATCCATYATGCCAGGTCCACACGAGTGAGTGCGAGAGTGATCGTCATACACAGCAAGTAGTCCCCAAAAAACCTCAATATAATATACACTTAGGGATAAAATATCCCACATGAAATGTCTCCAACATACACTCAGGGGTAAGATATGTGACTCACTCAACTCACTCAAATCTACACTCACGCGGGTATCCTCCTCAAGGTACAAGTCGGGTCTGTCACTCGGAGATCGGGGTATGGGCCAACTAAGTATGTGCACGCCTCATCTATCACGTCCCGGTCCTCAAGATGGCAGACTCAACAAGAACCCAACCCAAACTGCCCGACAAAAACGAACAACACCTAGGTCTATAGAATGTCATCCAATCCTAACTCAAGTCTTATACGCAACATGTCAACCATATAGGAAAACTCAGTCCTAGTCGCTCATCTCCTTCTGGTTTTGTCTATATAGTTGAGCCCTACCCCCTTCTGCAGATCTCTCTACTCTCCTGCCCTGTCTGTCATACATCCTGCCTCCTTCCTCTGTAACCTTCCCTTCAACCTTGTCCTTCAGGAACTTAGGACACTGCAAGGCTCGATGCCCCTCCTTTGTACAGAAGAAACAGGACGTATCGAACCACTTCCTGGACCTCTTCTTTCCTCTCTAAGACCCTGGCGATGATGGTGCTTCGCTAGCCTCCCTGCTCAGCTCATGGCTCTGAGGCATATCCAAAGGCTCCTCTCCTGTCTCAACCTCCTGGGTACTCGGCCCTGGTCGATCCTCAATCCCCTCTGGCCCATACTCAGGCGTGCCCAACCTCTGGAGCCCGCTCTCGATGACACCCTCCGCCTCAATCCCCATCTCTCTCTCAAGAGGCTCCTCTATCCTCTGCTCAGGTGAAAACAAACTCGCCTCCTCCTGTATAGTATGCACTGCCTCAAGGAGCAAGCCCATGGATCCCTCTGCTGAGCCCTGAGCTGGCTCACTGCTCGATGGTGGTAGCCCCTCTTCAACTGCCAAAGGTACGACTTGGCCTGCCGCTGCTACAGGTAGCGTCACGAGCTCAGTAGGGGCTCTGAACTCGAAGGCCTCTCTCTCTACCTCCCTCTGGGCTCTCGCCTCCTCTAGTTCCAGGATAACTCTCCCCATAGGAGGCTCCTGGCGAGGCTCTGCTGTCGTTGGCTGTCTTGGCAACCCGTGTCCTGGCTGCCTCTACTCTCCCTGCCGGCTGCTCTCTGGCATGTCCACCTTTCCCTGAGTTTGCTGCCTCAGGATCTCGATGATAGTTGCCTGGCTGGCCACCAATGCCCTGAGTTCCTGGATTTCATCCTCCATAGCCTCCAGGCGTACTCCATGGCCCGCTTCCTTCATCTTCTTCCCTGCCAGATCGCTTTCCAATAGCAAGTGCCGGTCAAAAGTTGCCTTGGCCAGGAACTTGATTTTGCGATCGAACCTTTCTTCCGCCTTCGTCGCTACCCCAAACCCGGCTTTGGTTGGCGAAGGAAGCTCCTCTCCTCTCTGCTCCCAGAAGTCCCTCCATATCTCAGGGATTTCCGGGGCCTTGGCTGGCGCGCTGGGTGGCTGACTCGGGAGTGCCCCTGCTGCCTCCACACTCTGTCTTTCCTGCTGCTGCTCTGGAAGTGCCCCCGCCGCCTCCAACCTCTGCCTTTCTTGCCATATCTCTTCTATCCTCCTAGTTCTCCTCGCCCTCTTTCCTTCAGCTGTCTCTCCAGCTGGCACCCTTTCCCTCGTGCGGAGGTCGACCCTCTTCGGGATCTCTGCCTCCACCTCCTTCTCGGGCTGGCATGACTCCTGGCGCGACTCTACAGGTGCCGACTCCTCTTGGTCTGGGTGCTCCAGGGCATGAGCTGCTAGGTGTCTGTCAATCAGAGTCAAGGCTTCTCTCCTTACAGCTTCCCTCTCTCTCCTCCTTTCTGCCCTCCTCTCTGGCGAATGAGCCTTTCCAGATGAAGGCAATGGGGCCTCTTCTCTTTGCAACTCCTCTCCTGCCTGGCGCGTGCTCCCAGGTGCATCTCCAGGTCTCAAGCCCACTGCTGGCGTCTGAGGGGGCGTGTCCTCTCCAACCTCTATCACTTCCTTCCCTGCACGTCTCCCCTCATCGCCTAGCCCTCTCTCTCGCTGAGTATCCCGAACCTCCTCCCGTGGCATCTCCTCTCGTGGTACCTCCTCTCGTGACACCTCCTCTCGTGGCGCCTCCTCTCGTGGCACCTCCTCTCGTGGCACCTCCTCTCGTGGCGCCTCCTCTGCCTGCTCTCTCTGCTCCTCACCCCCAGGCGACGCTCTCCATCGAGAGACATCAAAATGTGTCTCCAAATCCCTCAAAGGCCCCTCAGACGCTGGCGGCTCCTCCTGTGTGCGTGCTGGCGACCTCCTCAATCCACCCTCGGTAAACCGATGGAACTCCACTGGTCCCAACCCATACTCAGGGTATGCTCCTCGCTCCTCAGCCTCTGGTTCCGGTTCCGGTTCCTCCTCTCTCCTAGCCAGGGCCTTCCGTCCTCCTCGAGATGGTCTCACCTCCCTAGGCTCAGGGCCCCTCTGCCTCTGACTCCTCTGATGCCTCTCAACTCTGGGCTAAGGGGGCTTTAGCCGTCGAAACGCCTCTCTCAGATGTACCCTGCAGCTCTCCCAGTCCCGGGCCATGTCTCTGACCTGCCTAGCCAGTGGTCTCTCCGCCTTTCTGGTCCAGAGGGGTAACGTCCTCGCCCACTCATCTCTCGGTGTACTCTGCCCCTGCAATAACCACTCGAAAGCGGGGATGAACTCTGACGCATTCCCAATCTCCAGGCGGATCGGCCTGCCATCAGGCCTCACAGGCGAGGGTCGCAACTCCTGCATCCTTATCTTCACCTCTGACCTCGTCGTCGCCTCCCTACGGATCCGCGCGACGAGCTCCTCGAATCTGCCAACCCCCCTTAACCTCTCAATCTCCTGGGTCACGGTCCAACCCATACGCCGCGCATGCTCCCAGAAGCCGTCCAGGAATAGCTCGATGTCGTCACAATCGTACTCTGGAGTGCTCTCTCGATGGCAAGGCCCATGTTGCTCATATCCTCCTGATGCGCCCAACGGCCTCCGAGGCGGCCGTGCCCCCTTCCCTCCTCTTGGCATGACTGTCTTTGTAAAGTCAGACCTGCACAACAGGCGAAGGAGACAACATGCACACATTGGGGTAAGCAAACAGATGATAATCAAAGCGAGCTCAGACCTGACCACTCTCATGCAGCATACAACCTATCCGACCTACATAACCTATCGCTCTTATTCTAAAGGTAGTCAGATCATCTCTCTTACCTCTTCTCTCGCCACAAATTTCTTCAGCCGCGTTCCAGACACCCAGTCCTTCCATTCAGTCTCATTCAACTCCTCAATCGGAAACGCTCCGAAGTCTCCGACCCGTACGATCCGGTAGGGACCTAGCCACTTCTTATCGAGTTTCCTGGACCATTGTTTTTCCAACGATGAATCGTACTGGAGTACGACGTCCCCGACTAACAAGGGTACTTTCCTCACCCGCGCAGACTGGTCCCATCGAGCCTTATTATCCATACGGCTTCTTGCCACTTGATCGGACGCCTCCTGGATCCTTTCCTCTATCGCTCCTATTTGTCGCGCCCGAATGTCGAGCAACTCCTCAAAGGACAGGTCGACTTCCAGATCCTGACGCCTCCAAGTCTTGAGAAAGCTTTCAATAGGGAAGGTGGTGTGCCTCCCGTACCACAGAGTGGCTGGCGCGTACTTGGTGGATCATTTCACTGTAATGTTCTCGACGAAGAAAGCCGCCCTCATGTGCCTTGGCCACTGATTAGGCCTACCTTCGGTCCACTTAGCTAGGAGGCTCGTAATGGTACTATGCCCTCTCTCCACGGGAGCATTTGCTTGGGGGTGTGCGGTCGTGGTGTAGTTAGCAACTACATCATACCTTGATAGCAACTCCTGCACCTCCTGGCAGGTAAACTCTGATCCCCTGTCCATTACGAATTCCCTCACGAAAGGATAGCGCAGGTAGTACTTCTCAATGCAACTAACCAAGGTTAGCCCAGTCTTCGAACGAACAGCACGGCCGTCTACGAAGCCAGACAGGTTATCGCGCGCATCGAAGATGTAGTTATAGCCCTGATCCCCAAGCGGCATGAATAGTAGATCGAGATGTACTACAACCCCCACCTCTCGCTCTAGCCTCAGATGTAATGGCTCTCCTTGCCTTAAACAGGATCTCAACAGGCAGGGTACGCAAGATCGACAGAACTTCCCGATCATGTCCATCATTCCGTCCCAGTAGTACAGCTCGCTTATTTTGGCGTAAGTGGCTTGAACCCCTTGATGCCCTCTTGCAATGCCATCATGAAGTGCTGCTACGACGTCAATCTGACGATTCCTACCGCAGACGACTCTCCTGGGATTCCCCACTTCTCTTTTTACGAAAAGGTGGCCGTCTCGCACTAAGTAGCGCAGGAGCATCCTCTGAGCCCTATCGCTCGCATCCCTTAGCCGCATTTCGCAAGATAAAAGAAGCCCCAGCTCTAAGTAAATCCCGTCATACTCCTCTGCACGAAAAACCTCCTTAATCTCCCCCTCCCCGAACTCGTCGTCCTGGCTCTCGGGCACTTCGTCCACATTCCTTGTCGGGTTCAACGAGCCTGACTGGTCGAGGCTTTCCTGCAATGACGTGTTGACGAGAAGATACATTCCTCCCATCAGGTCCTCATGCCGTTCTACCTGGCCAGGTCCCTCCTCGATCGTCCTCATGTCCTTCACCAGACTATGCGAGCTGGCCAGCGCTAACTCCATCATCCACTGAAAATCCTTACCACCCCAAGGATCCTCTTCTTCAAAGGGTTTGAGGACTAGCTCCGCCCTCCGTTCGTACCCACTCGGCGCTTGCCAGATAGGATAACCTACACAGCTGGGCACTCGCGGCAACCACTTGTTGATGTGGAGACGAACATCTTCCTCCTGATCCAAAAATCCATCAACTGGGGGCGTATTCTCCACCGCCTCCCCTTCCTGTTTATCCCAGTTGATCCGACTCAACCCGTCTGCCCGGTTCTTACTGCCAGGAATCCGCTCCAACTCGAAGTTAAACATCCAGATATACGTCAGCATCTGGCAATCGTCGAATCCGATGGAATGTAATTCCTTAGAGAGTAGGCCAGGGCGGTTGGGTCCACTCTCAAAATAAGCCTTCTGCCAAAGATGTAGTTCCGGAAGATCCGCAGACTGTGGAGGACGACAAGAGTCTCCCTCTTGAACTGAGAGTAGTTCCTCTCGGTCGTACAGAGAGTCCGACTCTCAAATCGCAAAGGTTTTTCCTTTCCTTTCGTGTCTGCCTGAATTAGAACTCCTCCTAGGGCAGTCAGCCCCGCATCCGTTTCGACAATGAAGGGTCGCGTCTCCGTGACATCATAATCTGGTGCTCCTGACACCAACCCTCCATCTCGAAATTCCTCCTTCATTCTGGCCACCACCTCTTCTTGCTCTTCACCCCAAACCCATTCTTGATCCTGACGGACTAACTTCCTCAGGTGTTCAGTCTTAGCGGCGAAGTTCTTGACAAAGACCCTCCAAAATCCACACGTACCAAGGAAGCTCCTGACATCAGTTATTGAGTGGAACGGAACTGGCCACTCAGTAATTTTGTCCGTCTTCTTCACATTCGGTCTTCGACCCCTCTCGCTGCAGACGAACCCCAAGATAGTCGCTTCCCTCATGCAGTGTCTGGATTTGGCCCGGCTCGCCGTGAGGTTATGCTCCTCGAGCAGGCTCAGGACCTTTTCGAGGTCCCGAATGTGTTTCCACATAAAGCGCCTTACCCCTAGCGAGACTTCGTCGTTCTCCTTCACTGCTGGCCCCTTCACCGCCAAATCGTCGATGTATGGCTGTGTGATATGGGGGCTGACTGACTGCATAGCCCGGATCATGGCCCGTTGGACCATTGCTACCGCGTTGGTCCACCCTTGTGGGACCAAGTTCATGTGGATTAATCCTCGCGACATGTACATAGCCGTCACCGGCCTGTCCGGCGAATAGACCGGAAACTGATCATATCCTGAGTAAAGGTTTATAAGTGAGATTATAGACCTTCCAGCACAAAATTTCGACAACGTGTCCGCATTGGGCAGTCCTCCAGCATCCCGCACGGTCACCGCATTCAGCCTCTGCAAATCTTGCACCCACCGCAACGTTCCGTTAGGCTTGATGAAGCAGAACCACGGGGACGTATACGATCCACTCGAATAGTCGGCGACGTGCCTAAGTATCTTGTCGTCGAGGTAATCCACCACCTTCTTTTCCTCGTCAGGATTAGGATATCGCGCCCCTCTCATGTTCCAAGGCTCGTGTGACACGGTGTGGATGCGGATCATAGGTATTTTGTCCACATCCAGCCTGCCTGGCTCCTCGTCACTAAACGCATAGGCGCGATGCCTCCTCTTCATCAACTCCACCATCAATGCCCGCTCCTGAGGCAGCAGGAAGTCGGGTTCCCCTATGATAAACTTCCCCTCATTCCCTTCGTTGATACGACATGGTCCCGCTAGAGCACGCTCCCTCATCCACTGTATCAACCCTCGTTCCCTCTCGTAGTATGCTCCCTCGTCTTCCGTAACGAGGACTGGAACCGGGCGACACTTCTTGTCTACCGTCTTGTACTACCTTTGGGAACCCTGCTTGAGCCGTCCCCTAAAAAAAACCGACTCACAGATTGCGCTTGTGCTGACGCGGAGTTCCCCCTGCCGTCCGGAAGACGGTATACCAGTTCCAACCTCCCCGCCTCGGGGTATTCCAAGACCGACTCCCTCAAGGCCTGGATGGCATCCGGATCTGTCATTTCATGCGCGGCCACCAAGTCCATGGCCTTCCCGACGTTCGACAGACTGAGAAAAAATGCTTCCACCCTCTCTCCTGCTTCGGGCTCTGCCCGAAGCCTCTGACGCTCACCTTCCGACTCTTCGATTGTGAACGATCCTGGATTGGGCCGGTTTTTTATACTCCTTGGCCCTGTGTTTCTCCACGTAATTATTTCGTAATTCTCGCAGGAAGGGTCGCATAGGAGGAGAATTAACGTCCCGTCATGCTTATTGAATATCACGGTCTTCGTCCTGCTTAGGAATGACCTCCTTGGAGGATTCCGTGATCCACGTCCGGCATGATGAAGAAGCAAGCCCGGGCCTTCACCTTTCCAACCTCGGTGAGTACATTCGAGGTTGTCCCGCAAAATACGGCCTTGCAGCTGGTTCCGTGTAGAATACCGCAATCAGAACGATCTATATCCAGCCCGAATCTGATCCTGCCCGCCTCCCGGATGATGTTCTTTCTGCCCCGGTGTCCACCATTGCCGTACACTTGGAGACCTTTACCACCAAATCCACCGTGCCGCAGGCCACGCATTTCCAGTCCATCTTCGTGCCTGACTCCGCCCACTCTGCCTCCTTGGGCATAATCGTACCCAGATGGACATTGGGCACCAGGCGCCGCGACAACCTCCCCTTCAATTCATCGCGGAGCCGCGGGGCTGACGCCAAGATTTCCTTCAGAGTCATGAGGTCATTGTGCCCTTCTAGCAGCCCGTCGATCACTCTCTCTACGTCAAACCCAGCGTTGTCACGCGGGGATCCCCGGGGCCCAAGCCGGGGTAGGGGTTTCAACCCCGGAACCCCGCCGCGGGGCTACCTGAACCCCGCCCCCGCAGAAGGAACCCCGGCCCTGCCCCAACCCCGCAACCCCGCACCCCCGCCCCCGCACCCCGCAACCCCGCACCCAACACCCCCGCACCCCCGCCCCCGGCACCTCCAACCCCGGCCCGAGCCCCG